GCGGCCCGGGTCCGGATCCGGGCGCGCACCGACGCGCTGCTTCTCCGGCCATGCTGAGGCTGCGCCCACATACAGCAACTAGAAGGGTGTGCAGCAGTGACATACAACTATCTACTGGGGCTTTGGGGGAAAAATAAATAAATAAAAATTTAAAAAAAAAGATTAATAATTTGTATTCAGATCGTGCTTGGTGTTTCAAAAAGCCATTTTATGTAACATACTTGTTAAAAGTAAGTCAGAGCATGAGAGAAAGCCTGATGCTTGCTTGGCGCTAAGGAAAATATTCTAGTTGGGTTGCCCAGGGATAATTTAATTCTTCCCATAGATCATAAAAATTTCATTGCTCATAAATTGAGGCTGGAGCTGCTGAGCACAAGGGATGTGCAATAATCTTTTGGCTGTGGTTTTCATCGCTTCGTGGCCAAGACAGAGGATGTTTTGTTCAGCTGTGGGCCTGAGGCTACTGGGCTGCCCCAACACACATAGTCAGAGAAAGATTCGGAGCCCGGCCTTCATGCTGCAGGGCGCTCTTGCCAAGGCAGAATATCTGGGCCTAGTGCACTTGTTCTCCGAGACCAGGCAGACAAGAGCAGTCATTTCCTGGGACACTCACCCTGAGTCAAATTGCTTGTGTGCTGTGTGTGTTACCTACATAGAGCGTGTTCATGCAGAGGGCAAACAGAGGCTAGTGTCCAGGAGTACGGAAGCTTTATTAATAAATCCATTGATGAGGATTCTGTTTATTTTTTATTTTTATTTTTTTTTAGGATTTTACATGCTATTTTTTTTACGCTTTTTTTTAATGAAAAGCAATTTTATTAGGCAACTATTTTTTAATATGATGTTGAGTAAGAAAATTGGTATTTTAGCCAATATTTTTGACATTCTTAACAAACTAAATTTGAGGATTCTGTTTATATTTGTAGTAATTTCTTTTAATTAGCTTTATTGAAGTATATTTTACATGTCGTAAAATTCACCCATTGCAAGTATACAAGTCAGTGATTTCTAGGGACTTTACCAAGTGGTGCAGCCATCACCATAAATCAGTTTGGGGACATTTTCTTCCCCCAGCAAGGTCCCTCATGTCCTCTTACAGTTAATCTGCATTCCTGCCCCCTGCCCCAGGCAACCACTAAACTACTTTCTGTCTCTTTTGTAATAATTTAGCTAATTATTTTCTGATTAGAGAGTAGTTTCTTATTTTTAGATTATTTTAATAACACCAGAAAGAAAAATTGATTGGAATGAAGGCCAGAATCCCCACAGTTGATGTGGCATCCAGACTTCTCTTTTTAGCTATTATCTTCTTCTGCCCCTCTGCTTACATGGTGGATTGCTCCCATGTCTGTGACTTGGCCCACTGCTCCACGCTGTTCCTGTTGCCTGGATTACCTTCCACCCCTTCTTGCAGACAAAATTCTCCCTGTCTCTTGGAGGTCTAGCTCACATAACCCCTGGTCAGCAAAGATTTCTCTGGTGTCTGGACTAAAAGTAATTTCTCTTCTCGGAAATTCCGTGGTGTTTTATTTATGACTCTTAGAGTTTTCACATGGCAGTTTACTTACTTAAGTAGGTGCTTTATCTCCGCTATTAAACCATGAGGTCCTGAGGACCGAGGTTCTGTGTAATTCATCTTTCTCTCCTAACCACTCTGTACCTCTCCACCTGCATCTCCAGTCACTCCCTGAGGGCCCATGTGCCTCCTTTGTAGCATTCATCGCAGTTGTAATGGCTGTTTAATGTCGTGTTCACCGCTAGCCTGTGAGCCCTGTTTCCAGTATCTACAGTGAAAGCAAGCCGGCCAAGTGTGTTTGGATAGCCATAGATTTTCACTTTTCTCCACTTCAGTGTTTCACTCTGGATACCAAAGCTTAGTTTACCTCTTCTTACCCTAATACCTGTCATAAGTACCTAAGTTCTTATTTGAATTGAATAATGAATAATTTTAAAATAGATGTATAAAGCAAATTCTGATTGAGGTTCTTTTCCCCTGCTGTAGAGAGTCTTGTTTTTCTCACTCATTCTTGTGTACACTCATACTTACATACACCTGTCATAAAAAACCTCAAGTTCTTTCTAGAATACGATTTTTTGATTTGTAAGCACCTTGTTCTTTTCTCCCCCAACCCACCTTGAACTGAGTTGTTCTGGTGCTGTTGGCTCAGCCTACCACCCTGAGCAGCTCTGACCCTCCCCTTCGAGGTGTTTTCCTGCCCTCTCTCTTGCTCGTGGCTTGTCTGAGATGGTGCTGCGTTGGCTCCTCTCTGGGCAGCAGTCAGGACCAAATTGATCTGTGCCTCTGACTCCAGCTGTGGCTCTGTACGATCATGTGGATGAATGGGCAGTGTCTCGAGGCTCAGTAACTGGGACAGTCACCTCCTTCCCAAACCCAGGCTAGCCCACCTGACTGCTCAAAGCCAAAGTCAGCATTTCTTTCCACAAGGAGCCACTGGTGTCTGTACAGACTACAATATGCTGCATGTGGTATGTCTTAGACTCTTTGTTTAATTTCTTGGTGTGTATATATTTATTCTTCCTCTGAGATAGCAAGCGTAGTGTTTTATTTTGTAGCCAGCTTGTTGCTGTCTATAAAATAGGCACTCAGTAAATGCAGGATGAATGAATTAATGAATTCACACATGCATTCACTATATGATGTTTGGTTTGAAAGTATTAATGTATCTCTAGATTCTGTCTCTTACCTGTTAGATACTCAGAAAAGTACTTAAGTATATTGATTTGTTCAACCAGTGTTTATCAAGGATCTGCTTGGGCTAGTCTCTGCTAAGTGCTATGGAGAATATAAAAATGAAGTACACGTGAAGCTACCCTTCACAATTTATGGTGTGAGAGTGATAAGACAAATGCAGGGTAAAACCTGTCAAGTACCTTAATAAATTTTTAAAAAAGAAGATATTGGAGGATTTGGAGAGGGAGGGATGTTAATGGAGATGGTAGCCTCTGAGTAAATCCTGATGGATGGATGGGAAGGCTTTGAACAGGGGGACATGGGGAAGACACTTCAGCTGGGTGGAACAAATTGAGCATGAGCATAGAACCAGGAGAGCAGAGAACAGCAAAGAGTTGTTTGGCCACATGTGAAGATACAAAGCGGCAAATATGGTTGGATTGTGGAGAGTCTCAAATGCAGGAGTCAGTTTAGTCTTTATCAGGGACATGACGCCAGATAAATCTGACAGAACTGCGCAGGAGGGGTCCAGACAGGCAGAGATGAGGAAACGGTGTCCGAGAGCAGGGGAAGCCATTGCCTCAGACCAGAAAAGAGGCAGTGACCCCCGCCCCCCAACATACCCAAGGCACAGGGTGGTGAGAATGGCAGGGAGGGGAGTTGGGTGGCTGAGCTGGCTTGGGCACATAGAGTGGCTGGTAGGCCAGTGGAAATGTGGAACAAGACGTGGGGATTGTGGCAGACCTGTACTTCTCACTTGTGTTTATTCCTGCCGAGGTTTACATGGAAACTCAGGTGTGCTTGCCATCAGAGATTATTCACCAGCACGCCTTTTATTTGTCACCATTCCTTGCAGTCATCCATAAGACCTCGCCTTAAACTCAGTTTTTCAGTATTTAAAAATTTAACTCTTAAGGCTAATCCTAGCCAGTCATAGCTGATTGCACTACACTTGGAGAACTGCCAGGTGCGTGATGAATGCTGAGTTGTGTAAGCCTAGGACAAAAGTTACCAAAAAAAGGCATTTCTGAAATGACAGTCATTAATTGATCATTTATTTGGCAGGATTGGTGGTTGGTGCAGGCGTTATTACACACCTTCCCAATATTTTTCAAGTAAATTTCTTTCTCTGTTTTGAAAATTAATATGCTGAATAGTGTATGGAAATCAGATCCCATATTGCCTTAAAATCATGCCTATAGTTGGTCTTCCACTTCAAGGTAATTCCACTAAAAATAAAATGTTCTTTGCTCGATTGTAAGAATGAATGCATAAGGTTCCAAAGTCCTCACTCTTGTCTTTCTCCTTTTATAGGCCCATAATCTGAGTGCGTGTACCCAAAGTGGTACATAGGCCACAAGGCCTCAGCAGTGCCAGCTGGCAGTTGTGTTGACTTAAGGGAAAGATCTGAGCCTAGGGGGATGAGAAAGTAGATCTTTAGCTTGTTTTCTTGTTGGGGAGGGACTCTTTTAGGGTCCCTTTTAGGGTCTTTTAGGAAGTCTGTGCCTTAAGGTTCTTCCTGATGAAGCTCGGTGTCTTTCAGTTTGCTCACGTTTGAACTGCCAGCCGGGACGGCCTCTCTTGCACTGAGTGTGCTCCGAGGTGTCAGGAGGGTTTGATTCTATTTAGTTTAATCCATGGTGACAACTTGTTAAGCCACCATCTCTTGCCTTCTTGCTTCAGGGAGAAGAACTGGGACCTCAAGACCTCGCGTCCCTCCTTTTCTTATTCATCTCCTTTCCCCAGCAGAACATGCACACAAACCCGCGCGCACACACGCTCATTTCTTTTCTTGTTCTCTCAACATTTACTCATACACGTTCACAGGAGACAGATGTCCCCTTCGTTCTGTTTTTCCTTTTGGCTTCCCCTGATAGGGCTGTGCTGGGGAGACTGGGATCTGTGGGCCTGAGAACTAAGCAAAGCACAGCCCCAGGACATCAGATGGAGCCACGAACGAGTAGGAAGTGGGTGTGTGCACCTCTATTCCAATATCTTTAAAGTAGTTCGGTCATTGATTGTTTTGAATTATTTTTTTCTTCATTGTAATGATTATCTTTCACAAACTTCATAGCTTAATAATAGAAAGTTATTATTGTGAAAAATGGACGCATGTAGACTTTTCGCTAGTTATATGTTCATTTGTAAGATAAAATCATTGCAAAGAACGTCAGAAAGAATAAGGCTGTCATACTTGTGCTGGTCAGGTTTTAAGTGCAAGTTAATTATTACCAGGTGTTCTCTAACGTCCTTGCTGTGTCCTTACTTTAGATTAAAAAGGAAATTGAATTTTGTTTCTGTTTTTTAGATTCAGAATATGAACAACATCATCTCCTTCCCTTTGGACAGTTTGCTGAAGGGGGACCTAAAAGGAGTGAAAGGGGTATGATATTAAAAATCCTGCTCATTGGGGATCATTTTTGTGGAACGTGGAATCACAGTCACACCGGCCTGTCTGGGCAGCCGCCACATTTGTGCATTCTTACTGGGATGGCGGGACACTTCCTGTTGCCGCAGTTTCCCTGATTTGCCTTCCTGGCACTGCCTGTCAGCCCCAACAGTGGTGACTTAACGGCCTTTCTGGTCGTCCTGCTGGCAGTCTAGGAGGACGTGAAGGGAAAGAAACTGCGCTTTTGGAAACTGTAAAGGATTTTTGGGCTCCGTTGAGCAGGGAAGCCTGTGCAGAGAAGTCTGGTTTTCCAGTGGTGTGTCACTGATTGACCACTGGGAAAAGGATCCTTGTAAGGATGTAGCTTCCTGATGGGAAACTGCACCAGTAAGGCTTGAGCCTACTTTATTTTTCAGTCTTTCAAAGGATGTTCGTTGTTTCGAAAGTGCCTTGCCACATATAAATACTTGAGCTGAGAATTGTTTCACGAGTATGTGAGTGAGGAACAGTCAGGGCTTGAGTGGTGTTTGGGTACCAGATGCTGAGCAGTAAGTTGCTTTTGCATGTCATTGGCGCAAACAGCTGTATGCTGTGAAAGGGAGATGATTGTGCCCGAGTTCTTAGGAGACTGAGTTCTATGATTGGATTTGCACATGATTCCTGGTCACATCTGGCACATCCAGAAGCCCAGGCTGGCCCATCTCCAAGTCCTCTGCAGAGGCGTCTCAGTATCTCCTTCACAGAGTGTGCCAGGAGAGCTGCTGGGGCGGGGAGGGGTGGGCCCTGTGAGCCGTTAGGACACCGAGAGACATTACTCATCATCTTCTTGGGGCCCAGAGAACATGTCAGCCGAGTTAGTCAGAAAAATGGGAGGCAGAGGGAAAAACATGCAAATATATAGAAGCATGACACATCACTACTCATGAGGCTTTTGGTATAGCTTGAGGCTGAGTAGGCAGAGGTACAGGTGTGGGAGATGAGGCTTATGAGGTGGAAGGGCCAGTTCATGGAGGGCCTTAGATGCCAGGCTGGAGGGCTGAGGGCTTGTTATAACACCAATGAAGAGCCAAAAAATAAAAAATGAGCCTAGCCCCTCCCACCCTCTCCCAAAAAAAGGGTTCTCTCTTCCAAAAGAACCCTGTTAAAGGGAGCATAAGTAGATGGGAAACATTTGATAGAATTTCTAGTGGCTCAGTACATCTTTGAGCCAGGCTTTATGTATGAGGTTCTACATTCCAGACAGAAGAGTGGAATCGAGAGACCTCAGGAGAAGGTGAATGGCTTTTACCCTCTTACTGTTGAGCCCAAATCAGGGTGACATGTGTTGGAGAGACTCCTATATTAATAGAAAAAGTCAGAGTCCCTTTCTTTTAGACACTAAAATACTTGCAGAGTGGGTTTAATTTCAGAATAATCCTGGGGCAGAGGGTAGAGTATAGGTGAAATAAGATGGGTCATGAGTTAATACTTGTTGTAACTGGGTGGTGGGTACATTATATTCTCTGTGTGCATTTGGTGTATTCTGTAATAAAAATTTTTTAAAGAAAAAGAAAAAAAGGAAATGTCACCACTAGTCCAATTAAAAACCTGTGCTCTAAGTTCTTTATTTTTCATGAGATCACATACGTCATTTATTACAGAAATTAATGCTCCTTTCAGGATTAGTCTAGGGATAATTAAGTTTATCTTGCCCAGAAGTTAATGATTAGTCCTGTTTAATTTATGCCTCTCTGTTTACAGGATCTGAAAAAGCCTTTTGATAAAGCTTGGAAGGACTATGAAACAAAAATGTGAGTGTTTTCATTTCAAAAAATAAACATAGGTAATTTAAGATTTCAATTTTGAATCGAGCTTTTATTGCTTAAAGGTATTATCTAAATAAACCTTAATCCAGGAAAGAATTCACCAGAACTGTATTGCTGTGGTATGTTAGGATGCCAGATGCTTTCATACTTGGTGTCTAAATTCCATGATGTTGACTCTTTAAATAAGTTTTTCCTTGTCCCTTTCTGTTATGTCATAATGGTTACAGAATGTTATTTTCAGGAAAGTTAATTGAAGGAAAGTAAGGCCAATTTCTCTCAAGAGGTGTTTCCTTCCTTTTTTTTTTTGAAACGTTCTCCCCATTTTATCACCATTTATGACAGCCGCACCATTTTCAGACTTCGTCTTCCTGGTGATTTGTGAAAGCCATCTGCCTTTAGCTTTGTGTCTGCAACCCCCTGCCCCTTGGTTTTGCAAAGAGAGACTGTTGGAACATCCTCCCCTTCAGCTTAATTTGATGGCTTCATCTGCTGGGAGAACACGAGGAACGGGTCCCTTGATTCCTGGATATGCACCACAGCTGCCACAGGAGGTGGGGCTACTGCTGCTGTTTGACTTCCGGCAGTTGTGACATTCCCAATGACAGTTTCTCATTCCTAGAAAGGAGAAGATTGAGCTTGCTAGAATTGGGCTAGCAATTGTGGGGATGATGGGTACAATTATTTCAAATATTTGAGAAATAGAAAATATTTTTAAATTCCTCGTGTTTGCTTTGTAATTGCTGTGAAATGGTTAATAACGTAGAGTTTTCTGAGTGGAAAGAGAAACTTTAATATGAAGCCATCTGGTAAAGTAAGAAGTGTTGAGAAGAAAGCCATTTCAGATATAACTACAAGTATTTAATCGAGTTTGCTTTTTTTCACCAGCCTTGGGTGTCTATTCAGTGGTGAAGGATCACAAAGCTCAAACCAAGGAATACCAAATTTTTGATACTTGTCCCATCCTGGAAATATTAAATTTCCATACTGGAAGTTGCTTGGATCCTCAAATTCTGGAGTTTCACTGATGGCGTACATTCATATATAAGCACAGGCGGAGTGTTAAGCTAGAAGGTCGGCTCAACCCGAGAGACTCCCATCTTGCTATCCCTGGCCCTTGAGCATCCTTCATGTGCATACCAATTCAGTGTAATAAATGGGGAAGGGATCACCATTCCTGCTTTACCGACGGGAAACCAAGAGTCGGTGGTTTGCCGCTGGTCCTTGAGCCAGGGCCAGGAAGTGGTTTGCTGACTTCCATTCAGCTGCTCTCACTGCCACCCTAAGTGCTTCAGAGGAGATGCGTCTGTGCATGAACGGGTTTCTGAAGAGGGCTGTCTGAGAGAGTCATCTGGTTCTGAAAGGGAAAGATTTGAAAGGAAGATGAGATCAAATTCTGTAAAATCAAGACACATGTAGATAGGATGGGGACAGGATTACTCATAAAATCGCAGAATTTAAGAATGAGGGAGCAGCGCCCTTTAAAACTTGAAGTAATTCTAGGATAAATAAAGGAATTAACTCTTTACCCATTTACATGTGAGATTGATTTATCCCAAGAGGCCTTGTGATATGTAATAAACAGGTGTAGACGTCTTTGAAATTCCTGGGCAATACCTGATTATTACTAGGATGACCGACGTCTGGACTGTGTCTTGATCCCTCTGAAGTGGTGTCAGGGGGAGCCTTGGAGTTCACTAATTGTATCCCAGGGACCTCAGGGGCCCTTCTGGTGCATTAATCCATTCAACAACATCCCTACCAGATGGTCGTGTGTTTATTTATATTCTTATACCCTCATTGATTCATTCGTCAAGTACCTACTGTGTGCCCAACGCTGTGCCTCAAGATAAAAACAAGAATTAGAAATGATATTTCTTGCCTCTTCTTAAATACCCCCTCCCCAAATGATGGGACACTCGAACCCAAAGTAACCGATTTCATGTTGAAAAGCTTTCTAAGAAATGCTACCTATGTCTTCCAGTGTCTACCTTGAGGCTCTGCAGAAAATGTCTACCCCCTTCTCTTTGTGGCAGCCTTTATATTTTTGAGTGCTTTCTTTGGTTTTGTTTAGTCTCCTTTTCTCTAGAATAAAAGTTCATTTACTATTTCAAGCCCTTCTTAACTGATGTGATTTCGTGGCTGATTCTCACCCTGGTCACTCTTTGTTGGACGTGCTCCACTTGGTCAGTTGATACCCTGAACTGCACACTTGACACTTATATAACGCAGCTCAAGCGTGAGATAAACATGGAAAGGGGAGTGAAGCTTAAAAACTGAGAAGGTCGTTTGTTTCCTTCTACAGCGGTGAGCACTGTCCTAGTCATGACTTCACTGAGTTAGGAGTGGAGGGAGATGAGGAGGGCACAGGGAGAAAGTGCAGGAGGGGAACTGGGAGGTCAGGAACCATTACTGGCCACACGGTCCCCTTTGGACGGTTCAGCAGCACACGGTTGAGGCATGAGCACACTATCTGCCTCCTCTGACCCAGATCCGGCACAAAATAGGCACTTAGGAGGTATTTGTGGAGTAAATACTCAACAAAAAAGGGAAGTTTGACATTTTTATGAGTAAATGCATTTTCCTTTCCAGTAAATTAAGAGGCTGCCCTGTTCCTAAAAGACTCGGTGAGCGTTGGTCTCGCGGGCTGGGTCGTAGGATCCCTGCAAGGCTGTGTAGTCTGGAGCGCCGTGCTGCAGGCATGTCGATTTATCCTTGCTTTTCTCGCATGTAGAACCAAAATAGAAAAGGAGAAGAAGGAACATGCCAAGCTCCATGGGATGATTCGTACTGAAATAAGTGGGGCTGAAATTGCTGAAGAGATGGAAAAGGAGCGGCGGTTCTTCCAGCTGCAGATGTGCGAGGTAAGAGGCTGGGAGGGGGCAGGTTCCGGGCGCCGTGGCTACAAGCAGCCTGCCTTCACCTGCTCGTGCACCAAGGGGAGCGTGCGGTCTCCTGATGAGCACTGTCTTCTGACTTCTACCAGGGGCTTCAGAGGAAACACCGTATGCGTTATTGGACTCTTGTCTGTCCCATTTCTGTTACTTGGGGAGCCTTAGTCTCCTGGAGGGTGGGATTAACCTACCAACCTTTTATTAAAGGTAGGGAAAAACAATTTAAAGAATGTCCTTTCTGGCCTCACATGCATACTCACTCAGACTTGCCTCCTCTCACTGGAACTGAGCTAAAAATTTCCCTCGTTAGGTGTTTTTTAATGAGGTGTATCGGTTCCCATTGTACCAATGGAATCCATGATGGCAGAGGGGCTGTGAGAAGTCACCTGGAAAAAAATGCAGCGTGTGGTGCCTGTGTGTAAGTGTGTGAGAGCGTATTATGGAAGCCAAGCCACCTGCCTCAGGAGGTGCTTCCACCCAGATTCCACCTGCTCGGTGTGGGGACGCTTATCAAGGCAAGAGGCCCCGGTGCCCTGGGGAGCTCCTCGGCTCCGCTCTGTCCTGCAGCCTGAGCCCTTGCCTTGGGAAGGGGGAAATGGCAGGGCTGACACTCAGAACATTTCTCTGCTAGAGGCTTAGGGATGGAAAAGATTCAAGACCAAGCATGAAGGCTTTTGCTTCCAGCCTTTTTATGCCTTTCTTGTGGGTCTGTTTGTGAAAACGGCATATGGAAACAGTTCCCACTTCTGCCTGAGGGTTCACGCCTCCTGCCTCTGGCAGTGAAGCCCCTTGTGCTTTATGGCATTTGTGTTCCCTCTTATAGCAGTGCAGACCTCTGTTTTAAATGTACAGAATGCATGAGTGATGTTTGTGACAGATATTGAGACTGGGGTCAGCCAGATCTTGATTCCCCATGAGCAGTCAACAGCAAAGCTAATCTAAAAGGCACTTTTTGATTTTGGAATGTTTGTTTATTAATTGCAGCAGGAGCTTAGCCTTTATAAATGTATATTGTAGAAGTATATTTAAATGTTTTTATTTCCAGAACAAACTCTTAAGTAGTCAACAGAGGAGAATCAGTCTCAGGGATTGGGGTTATAACATTTGTCTGATATTAGTATAGCCATTCCAGCTCTCTTTTGGTTTCTGTTTGCATGGAATTTCTTTTTCCATCTTGTGCTTTCAACCTGTTTGTGTCTTTGAATCTCAAGTGCTTGCTGTAGACACTCTGTATTTGGATCATATTTTTTAATCCAGTCTGACAGTCTCTGCCTTTTTATGGGATTGTTTAATCCGTTCACATTTGGTGTTAACTCTCGATGTGGTTGGATTTACATCTGCTGTTTTATTTTCTTGGTTTTTTTGTGTGTGTGAGGAAGATTCGCTCTGAGCTAACATCCATGCCAATCTTCCTCTATTTTGTATGTGGGTTGCTGCCACAGCATGGCCGCCAGCGAGTGGTGTAGGTCCACGCCCGGGAACTGAACCCGGGCCACCAGAGTGGAGTGCGCCGAACTTAATCAGTAGGCCACGTGGTTATGTCTCATGTCTTTTTTGTTCCTCTGTTTCTCCTTTGCTGCTTTGGTTTTCATTAAGTGAATATTTAGAAAGTTAACTAAGCTCAAAGTGTTATTGTAGATGGGAAAGTGGATGTTTTTATATACTTGTTTTATAGACAGACATCATATATAGTAATACCTGCCTGGCCTGTTTCACATAGTGTTGGAGAAATCAGCCCAGACAGTAGGAGTCAGGGACTAGGAAACTGCTGCATGTTATACAAACACAAGGTTTTGTTTTTATTTAATCAAGGTAGAATTAAGTAGTAGTGTTTTACAAAGAGTGGATTTGGAAAGGGTCTGAGTATGCGTTCAGGTTGTGCTTTCTCAGGCTAGTAAGGTGGAAATCTATTTACCTAAACTCTGCGGGACTGCTTGTTAAAAAATGGTTAATGAATTGTGAAACTTAGCATGTTATTAGCATATCCTTGAAGTGAAGCCGGTTTCACGCCCAGCTCTGTCATTGCTTTCTAGTCTGCACCCAGCACTAGCTACTTTTCTTCTTCTGGGTCTAGGTGAGTGGATCGTGTGGACTGGTTAAGTAGTTTATTTTATCGGAAATACACTGTCTAGCTGATGCCTCTAAGTCATTCTCATGAACTGTCTGTTGAGCGAGTCCCCAGATGGTTGTCAGGCCTCAGTCTGTGCCGAGCCTAACGGGGTCCCTGCCTCTGCAGAGCTGGCGGTTAGCGGAGTCAGGCACTATGTGCACATACAAAAGCAGAGGTGAGGTTGACTGGCAGTGAAGTTGGAGTTTACCGAGGGGGACACATGTGATGAAGGATATGCACGTTGGCCAGACAGATGCAGGCTGGAAGGGGCTTTCCACGGGGAAGAAAGAGCATTGGAAAAGCAGTTCCCCGAGAAGCCACCATCTCAAAGTGAATTGATTGCCGCACAGTCATTTAAAATTGTTCAACAGTTTCTGCAAACTGAAGTTCTCAAACTTTTTTTTTTTTTTTTGTGAGGAAGATCTGCCCTGAGCTAACATCTGCCAATCCTCCTCTTTTTGCTGAGGAAGACTGGCCCTGGGCTAACATCCATGCCCATCTTCCTCCACTTTATATGGGACGCCGCCACAGCATGGCTTGACAAGCGGTGTATCAGTGCGCTCCCGGGATCCGAACCGGCGAACCTCGGGCCGCTGCAGTGGAGCGCAAGCACCTAACTGCTTGCGCCACCAGGCCGGCCCCTGAAGTTCTCAAGCTTTGTAAATGCTTTGTAAATGTTGTTTAGCTGTTTAAAATTTTAATTGCCCGGATCTAATCTAGACAGAAGAATGGCTTTTAGATGCTTATTTTAAAGCTGTGGAACTTTTTCTTCAAAATGATTTCTATAAAGAAATTCAGTGTGCCAAATAAGTCATACGGAACTTCTGTGAATAGAGAAGTATGAGGTATCCTATCTTGCTTATTTATGATTATAAAAATATGTACTTTAAAAAATTGGTGTGTACATATATATATATATGGTCAACATTTAATCTATAAAAAAATTTTAAATCACCCCAAATTTTCAAAAGATAACCACTTTGACATTTAGCTAACCATCTTTCATATACCCCTATGTATACCTTCATAAAAATAATTTATATAAACAGGATCATTCTCTACTGATGCTTTGTAACCCGATTATTTTCACTCAGTAGTATGCCGTGGACATCTTTCCTTGTCAGCAAGTCTCTACATTATTGACCTAATGGTTACCTAGCATTTTTTTGGTGTGGATGCACCATACTTAATCCCCCATTCTTTACATTTGGGTTGTTGCCGTTTTTCATTTTTACAAGCAAGTCTGTAAGGAACCTCCTTTTCTATTTTACCTTTGTAAACTTTCATGATTATCTTCTTAGAATCTCTAAGTTCCTGTAAGTAGAATTTCTAGGTCAAAGGGTATACACATTTTAAAGTTTGACTCATTGCCAAGAGTCTTATTAACCATTTAACCATTTTGATACATTGCGAGACATCTTATTCAATTAACAGTGAATAAATATCAAAAAGAAGGAGGGAGAGAGGTTGGCCCGATGGCATGATGGTTAAGTTCACATGCTCCGCTTCGGCAGCCCCGGGTTTGCAGGTTCGGATCCTGGGCACGGACCTACACACCGCTCATTAAGCCATGCTGTGGCATCCCACATACAAAATAGAGGAAGATGGGCACCGATGTTAGCTCAGTGACAATCTTCCTCAAGCAAAAAGAGGAGAATTGGCAATAGACATTAGCTCAGGGCCAATCCTCCTCACCAAAAAAAAAAGAGGGAGAAGAGGACATCAAGGCAATTGATGTAGGCAAAAGGAAATTTTGTAGTTTACTGTTTCAGAGCAGCTTCCCATCTCCTACTTTGGGCTGCGTGGCAGACCTGGGAGAGCACTTGAATTTGAGTTTCCCGGGTTACAGCTCAGAAGCCTGTGTGATCAGCAGGGGTCAGGGGCTCTTTCAGGGGGCAGGCAGGCTCAGAGATGACATGTTCTCAGGATTCTTTATACCACATCCTGACAGTGGAGGGGAAAGGGAATTTAGGGAATCTTTGTCCTATAAACCTTTAGCAAAGAACAAATATATTTCCTGATGCTGGTTTTGTAGATCCCTGGGGCTTCCTGATGTCTTCGTGGTTGGTAATGAATTCTCCAAGTTAAAAATGGCTTTAATTCATTTCAGTTTAAAATTTGGTTTTTATAACAGTCACATTTTTTTTTAAGTGTCAGGAAAGTATTTTAGGATTAGAGATGTGGTGACACGAGTCTCAACTACAAAAGCTTAGCAGTTAGTGTTCTAGACAATAACCTGCCTGAAGAAAGGGACCTGGGACAGAAGTATGCGGACAGGGAACATTTCTCCTAGCAGGTTAAGACGGAATGTCTTAATTACGAGTTTGTGGCACTTAAACGTTTAATTACCTGACCATCATGTAATTCATATGGCACCAAACTAAAAGAAACATCTGGTTATGGCATTCAGATGCATTAAGCATCTACCATGAGCTGTACCCACAGTAAAAGATGTCAGAGAAGTAGAAGAGACGATCTGTCCTCAGAAGCTCGTAATAAACTCATGTTCTGCTTATATCGATGACATTTCCTTTTTTGTTTTTTTAACAGTATCTGCTGAAGGTCAATGAAATTAAGATTAAAAAGGGAGTGGATTTACTTCAGAATCTGATCAAATATTTTCATGCCCAATGCAAGTAAGTTCTTTTTCTTTGTCATGATGTTATTCCAGATGTTTGTTTATGACAACTTCTGGTAGGTCTGTAGTATTGAGGAAAATAAACACTCATTTAAAAATCTATAGTAAAAGGAATGAAGTACTGACGCATGCTACAACACAGATGAACATTGAAAACATGTTAAGTGAAAGAAGCCAGGCACAAAAGGCCACGTACTGTATGATTCCATTTATTTACGGGTCAGAAATAGGCAAATCCACAGAGACAGAAAGCAGATTAGTGACTGCCAGGGCTTGGGGGAAGGAGGAAGTGGGGAATTACTGTTAATGGGTACAGGGTTTCTTTTTGGGGTAATGAAAATGTTCTGGAATTAGGTAGTGCTGATGATTGCACAACTTGGTGAATATACTAAAAACCACTTTAAAAGGGTGAGTTTTATAGTTTAAGAATTATATCTCAATTGAAAAATAGTATAAAAATCTACAGTAATTATCAAATATACTTATTTTTGTTCTTTTTGTAGAGGGGCAAACTACAGATTATCACATATTTTTATTAAAAGAGAAGTGGGATGGTATTAATGCAATGTGTTAAATTAAGAGAATACTTTCATAGATTCCTTATCGTTTAAGCAAATGACAGTGATGAGCAAAGGCGGCTGTATGTGGAAGAGGAGGAGAAACCCCCGCGTCCAGGCACTGCCTCAAGTATTCCCCTTTGCCACGTGCATCAGCCCTTCACAACCAGGCCTCACCTCTCAGCCCTGATGTCTGTCTGTCTTTTTTTTTTTTTTTTTTTTTTTGTGAGGGAGATCAGCCCTGAGCTAACATCCGTGCTAATCCTCCTCTTTTTGCTGAGGAAGACCGGCTCTGAGCTAACATCTACTGGCAATCCTCCTCCTTTTTTTTCCTCAAAGCCCCAGTAGACAGTTGTATGTCATAGTTGCACATCCTTCTAGTTGCTGTATGTGGGACGCGGCCTCAGCATGGCCGGAGAAGTGACGCGTCGGTGCGCGCCCGGGAGCCAAACCCGGGCCGCCAGTAGTGGAGCACACGCACTTAACCGCTAAGCCACCGGGCCGGCCCAGCCCTGATGTCTTTCTTACTCCTTGTCCTCCCTCTCCTCCCTGACCCCTAGTCGCCACTATAAACAGGCCCCGTCTCATTCACTCACTTTCATTGAGTGTGTGTTGTGTGTCAGGCACCGTCCTGGATGCTGGAGATAAAGTAATGACGTTATAGACGTAGTTCCTGATCACATCAAGTAGGAGAGTCAGACGTAGTTCCTGATCACATCAAGTAGGAGAGTCAGACTTAAGCAAACAGACTTGTAACTGGACATTTTAAAAAGTGTTCTGATGTATAGGAATCTAAAAAAGAATATAATAGAAGGACCTCATTTAGATTAAGATTGAGGGCAGGGATTTTTGTTCTTTTTTCTGTTTCATTCCTTGCTGTATTTTCCAGCAGCCAGAACACAGTACCTGGCGCATAGTAGGTAATTCAAGTACTCCTTGAATTAGCTGCAGGCCTCTTTGAGGAGACATGTATTCTGAATCTAAAGGGTGAGTAGGAGCTAGCAGATAAGGAAGAGGGGGAGAACATTCCAGGAGAAGTCAAGGTCTTGAGGCAGGAAGAGGCCAGCGTGACTTCCATATAGTGAGTGAAGGGGAAAGCAGCCTGAAAGGAAACTGGATAGGAAAGCCTGAGAGACGCAGACGCCTTGGAAGTCTTGTTAAAGGTTTTAGGTTTTATCCCAAATGTATTGAGAAGCTCTTGAAAAGTTTTAAGCAGAGGATTCATTCAACAAGTGTTGATGGAGTTCCTACTATGTGCCAGGCACTATTTGAGGTTCTGGTGATACAGTCAGAAGGGAAACCCAGTTCTTACACTCATGGGCCTTCAGTTCTAATGGGGGAGACAAAAGTAAACACTTGAGCAATTATGTGACACAGTTTTAGGGAGTGAGCGTGGCTATGAAAAGGCAAAGCAGCGTGATGAGAAGAGAGAGTTGTGTTGATTAGAAACATCCAGGAAGGCTCCTTAGATTCCATTCTGCATTAACAAGGTTACTCTGCATGTTGTGGAGGAGGAATCAGATGGGACAAGAGTGGACGTGGGCGGTCAGTTAGGTACACAGGTCTCGTCCTAGTGCAGTCTGGAGACGACGCTGTCTTGGCCTGGCCTGGTGACAGCACAAGTAGAGGGTGTGGAGTGATGGGAGAAATCTCTGGAGGTCGAATTGCCACACGTATCTACTCGCCTTTCCCCCAACAGGCCGTGCCCCATGCCGGTGTACCTTTGCACACATTGTTCCCTTTTCCTAGAATGTCATTCTGTTCCCTCTGTGCCTTCCCCCAACTTCTGTTCCCACTAAGACCCAGCTCATATGTAACTGCTACTTTGAAGTCTTTCTGGTTTTTCCCTTATGGCCTTACTTATCTACCTCCTGTGTTATGACTATACCCTCCACATGTCTCCACGATGGCGTCTTTCATATTGTGTCATGTCTCCCACTGAAATGTAGACTCTTTCAGGAAGGAGGCCGTGACGTTTATTTTATAGGCTGTAGCACCTGGTGCGTTTACCTGGCACATGTCTGCCACAGTGGACGGTACTGTTGAATTGCACTGAGCTCTGCTTTGGGATTCTTAGTACAACCTTGATGACATTGCATTTCTAAAGCAGTTGAGGTCAAACAGCAAAGGCAGATGTGCTGTGTGATTCATCCTGGGTTAAAGAAGAGCTCCAAGTTTGGAAAAACAGTCTCAGAGCACAGGAAAAGACCCCGAATTCGTAGAATTTTCAAGATGAATTATTTTACAGAGACTCAAAATCCTAACTTCGTGATTAGCATCCAAATTACTTCTTCAGTTCTCATCCATGAAACCTTACATGAGGCGGTTTAGGAAGTGGGGTGCTTCCTTGCTAATTTATTTTTAAGAAGAGGCTATTCTGGGATTTCCTTTTTTTTCTTTATTTTGCCCAAACCGATCAGTTGGGTAGCAACAGACTACTTGTGGAAAAGTGAACTACTTGGCCTTTTATGGGCATGAGCTCAGTAACCTTTAAAAATGATGGATCTTCCATTACTTCCTTTTTGGATGAGTGTGTGGTGTGTGTGTGTATGTCTGTGGGTGTGTGTGTGTGTGTGTGTGTTGCGTGCTCTTCATATCATTCAAACAGCTTTGACTTTTTTTTTTTTTTTT